TTAGCCGGGCCTGGTGGTGCATGCCTGCAGTCCCAGCTACTCAGTAGGCTGAGGTAGGAGAATCGATCGAACCCGGGAGGTGGAGGTTGCCATGAGCCAAGATTGTGCCACTGCACTCCAGCCTGGGCAACAAAGCAAGACTCTGTCTCAAAAAAAAAGAAAAAAAAAAAAAAAAGTGCTCCTCCAGTGAACGCAAATGATAGAGAGCAAAACAGCGTCACTGCTGATACGGAGAGTTTAGTGGCCTGAATAGAAGAGCAAACCATCCACAGTGTTCTCTGAAGCTAACGCCTACCCCAGAGCAAGGCTGTACCTCTTCTTCAATTCTGAGAGAGGTGAGGAAGCTGAAGAAGAAAAGCTGGAAGCTAGCAGAGGTAGGTTCATGAGATTTAAGGGAAAAAAGCTGTTTTCGTACCGTAAACATGCAGGTAAAGCAGCAACTACTGATACAGAAGCTGCAGCAAGTTATCCGGAAGATCCAGCTAATTGGTGAAGGCGGCTACACTAAACAAGATTTTCAATGTAGATGAACCATTATTCTACTGGAAGATGATGCCATCTAGGACTTTCGTAGCTAGAAAGCAGAAGTCAATGCCTAGCTTCAAAGCTTCAGAGGACAGGCTGGCTTACTTGTTAGGGGCTAAAGCAGCTGGGGACTTTAAGCTGAAGCCAATATTTACCATTCCAAAAATTCCAGGGCCCTTAGAATTATGCTAAATCTACTCTTCCGGTACTCTATCCATGGAACATCAAAGCCTGAATGGTAGCACATTTGTGGACAGCATGGCTCACTGAATATTTTAATCCCACTGTTGAGACCTACCGCTCAGAAAAAAAGATTCCTTTCAAAATATTACCAGTCATTGACAATACACCTGGTCCCAAGAGCTCTGATGGAAATGTACAAGGAGATTAATGTTGTTTTCATGCCTATTAATATAACATCTATTCTGCAACCCAGGGATCAACGAGTAATTTCCGCTTTCAAGTCTTCTTATTTCAGACATACATTTCCTAAGGCTATAGGTGCCATAAACAGTGATTCCTCTGATGGATCTGAGCAAAGTACATTGAAAACTTTCTGAAAAGGATTCCCCATTCTAGATGACACTAAGTATATTTTGATTCATGGGAGGAGGTCAAAATATCAACATTAAGATAAGTCAATTCCAGCCTTCATGGATGACTTTGAGCAGTTCAAGACTTCGGTGAAAGAAGTAACTGGAAGATGTGATGGAAATAGCAGAAGAATTCATTTAGAAGTGGACCCTAAAGATGTGAATAAGTTGCTGCAATCTCATGATAAAACTTGAAGAGATCAGGAGTGGCTTCTTATGGATGAGCAAAGAAAGTGGTTTCTTGAGATGGAATCTACTCCTGGTGAAGATGCTGTGTACATTGTTGAAATGACAACAAAGGATTTGGAATATTCCATAAACTTAGTTGACAGAGCAGCAGCAGGGTTGCAGAGGATTGACTTCAATTTTGAAAGAATATAGGTATTTACTTTGTGGTTATCAATGAGACATCTTATACTTGTAACAATCTATTTTAAGCTGATAACAACTTAACCTCAATCATATACAAAAACCACTTTTACAACTCTACTTTTAAATTATTGATGTAGGGCCAGGTGCAGTGGCTCATGCCTGTAACCCCAGCACATTTGAAGGCTAAGGTGGGAGGATGGCTTGAGCTCAGGAGTTCAAACCCAGCCCAGGCAACATAGCAAGACCTCATCTTAAAAAATTATTTTTAAATTTTTTATTTCAATAGTTTTTGGGGTACAGGTGGTTTTCGGTTACATGGTAAGTTCTTCAGTGGTGATTTCTGAGATTTTAGTGCACCCATCACCTGAGCAGTGTACGTTATAACCAACATGTGGTATTTTATTCCTCACCCGCCTCTAAACCTCCCTGGCTAAGTCCTCAAAGTCCATTGTATCTTTTTTTTTTTTTGCCTGAGACAGAGTCTTGTTTTGTCACCTAGACTGGAGTGCAGTGGTGCAGTCTTGGCTCACTGCAGCCTCCACCTCCTGGGTTCGAGTGATTCTTGTGCCTCAGCCTCCCTAGCAGGTGGCACTACCAGCATATGCTGCCACATCCAGCTAATATATATATATATATATATATTTTTTTTTTGTAGAGATGGGGTTTCACCATGTTGGCCAGGCTGGTCCCGAACTCCTGGCCTCAAGCGATTCACCCATCTTGACATCCGAAAGTGCTGGGATTACAGGTGTGAGTCTTTTTCATATAATGACTTATTTTCCTTTGGGTAGATACCCAGTAGTGGGATTGCTGGATCAGATGGTGTTCTACTTTTTGTTCTTTAAGTAATCTCCGCACTGTTTCCCCTAGTGGTTGTACTAATTTACATTCCCACCAGCAGTGCAGAAGTGTTCCTTTTTCACCACATCCATGCCAACATCTATTGTTTTTTTTACTTTTTAATTATGATCATTCTTGCAGGAGTAAGGTGTTCTCAATGCGGTTTTAATGAACATTTCTCTCATGATTAGTGATGTTGAGCATTTTTTTGTGTTTGTTGGCTGCTTGTATATCTTCTTTTGAGAATTGTCTATTTATGTTCTTTGCCACTTTGTGATGGGATTATTTTTTCTAGCTCATTTGAGTTCCTTATAGATTCTGGATATTATTCCTTTGTCAGATGCATCGTTGCGAATTTCTCTCACTTTGTGGGTTGTCTGCTTACTCTGCTGGTTGTTTTGCTGTGCAAAAGCTAAAAAAAAGTTATTGATGTCACAAGTTACACCTTTACATAGTGTGTATCCATTAAGATATTTTAACATATTTTTACAGTTATAGTTTTTGTTTTGCAATTTTTAGAGATGGGGCTTCACTTTGTTGCTCAGGCTGGTCTTAAACTCCTGGCTTCAAGTTATCTTCCCCAGGTGCTGGGATGACATGTGTGGGTCACCGTGCCTGGCCAGTTACAGTTATTTTTATGCTTTGTCTTGTAAATTCTGTACCAGAATCAAAAGTGCACTACCATTATAGTCCTGAAGGATTCTGCATTTGTCTGTATTTACTTTGCCAGTGAGCTTCATGTTTTCTTTTTCTTTTTGAGACACAGTCTCGCTCTGTTGCCCGGGCTAGAGTGCAGTGACACGATCTTGGCTCACTGCAGCCTCTGCCTTCTGGGTTCGAGCAATTCTGCCTCAGCCTCCCGAATAGCTGGGATTACAGGTGCGTGCCACCACGCCTGGTTAATTTGTGTGTGTGTGTGTGTGTGTGTGTTTTTAGTAGAGATGGGGTTTCACCATATTGGTGAGGCTGGTCTTGTAGTCCTGACCTCAGGTGATCCTCCCGCCTCAGCCTCCCAAAGTGCTGGGACTACAGGTGTGAGTCACTGCACTCAGCCACTCCCAGTCTTTGCATACTGGCTTTGTACCGGGGAGACCTTCACCAACTAGCCCAGGTAGAGATTCTGGAACCTCTTAAATGTTTTTCCAAGTTCAACTTTTTAGGACTGTGTTATTTTCCAACTAAAGGTTGCTGGTTTTTCATCTTGTAATCTCTTGCTCCCTCTGGTGTCTGTCTTCAGAACTGCACGTTCTCTGGAGCTGCAGCTGCAAGTTGCCCCTTTGTTCTCAGTGGCTCTCTGGCAAAGCACGACAGCTTCCTATAAGCACCCGAGTTAGATGAGATGGGCAACACTACAAAAAGCCGGAATGCTGGTGTGTAAGTTCCATTTCTCCTGGGAGAGAAATTGCAAATTGGGTGATTTCTCTTGATGGCGTCCAGCCACCCTGGCCAGTCTGTGGTTCTACAGGCGCTGGTGGCACGGCAAGCTATCCTCCACTCTCGTGTGCTTTTAGCAGACCCCAGGCATCCAAAGGATGCCAGTTCTGTCAGTATTCTAAGTCAGACAAGACGAAAGAGCCAGAATCTTGGTCACATGCTCCAACCTTCTCCACTTCTCTCCCCCTCCGCCCCGAGTCTGCCCCCTTCAACCCAGGGAAAAGCCAGGAGCTGGTGTACTCTCGCCATCATGCTGGGCTGTCATCCTTGGTGGGGTAAAGTGAAATGACTCTTCCTACTCATTTCAACGTGGCTGTTCTTAATTTTGCACTCACCAGGTGGGGATACTGCATCTTAACTGGTTTCTGGCATCTTGGTCTATAAATTGATGTCTCTGTGGGGTAACGAGGACTGGTACTTCCTATTTTGCCATCTTGCTGATGTCAACCCCCATTTCATATTTTACCCAAAATGGAAACAGATAAAGGTCACAGAATCCAGAATGATTTACATAACAAAAGGAAACCTTCACAGAGTACTGGGCAGCACCTGTGCTACAGGTGAGAAAGCCAAGGCACAGGTCAGTGAAATTGTACATCCCAAAGATTAGGGGTGAACAGTGACTGGTATGCAGCAGGCACTCGAAAATGAAAACCATTTTTATTATTTTGATTAAAATTCTTCTAAAATGGGGAAATTATCCTGGATTATTGGGGTGGGCCCAGTGCAATCACAGGGTCCTTTTATATGTGAGAGATCTGAAGATGATAAGCTGCTGGCTTTGAAGATGCAAGGGCCCATGAGCCAAAGAATATGGCAACCTCTAGAAGCTGGTAACAGCAGAACACAAATTCTCCCTAAAGCCTTCCTCAGGAGCACTGCCCTGCTATCACCTCGACTTTAGCCTTGTCAGACCCATTTTTGGATTTCTGACTTCCAGAACTCAGAAGTCAGAATTTAAAAGCAAATTTGTGGCTGGACATGGTTGTGTAACGCCTGTAATCTCAGCACTTTGGGAGGCCACGGCAGGAGGATTGCCTGAGCCCAGGAGTTTGAGACCAGCCTGGGCAACATGGTAAGACCTCGTCTCATTTTACCTAACATACACAATGAAAATTAATTAGTTAATTAATTAAAAAATTAAACTGGTGTGTCACTAAGTTTGTGGTGATTAGAGCCGAACTAGGAAGCCAATACAGAGTCTGAAATTAAAAAAAAAATACATTTAAGAGAAAATTACTTAGGAAATAAAATTTTATTGTACAAAATTCACATTTGTTGCATATGATGAAAAGCATGGCAAAGAGATCCTTAATCTTTTCCTTTGACATTTACAGTGAAGGTAATTTCCTAATACATTCTCGGATCATACGGTTTTTTTGTCTAGAATGTTTAACAGTTGTGTTGGTAGTAAGTGTTCTGGGTATAAGGTATAAAATGGAAAACAGATCAAAAAAGTGCCGGGGGAAGACCACTGCCAAACAGTAATCTCCAAGAACTTGGTATTTTCCACCGTGAGGTAGATGCTGTGGGGTCATCGCTCTGTAATTGAAGAACAAAATATTTTTATCTTTAAACTTTTACCATCAGATCTCCTTTTAAAGTGAATTATAAAACTCTCCTTTTGTGTTCCTTTTGGTTGACACTTTTATAGCCCGGTTTTATTGTTAAGGAAAAATAAAGTTTGTCTTCATGTCAACTGAACATAAATTTCTTTAAGTTCCAAATTATAAAGATATGCCAGAAAGGCTGCAGATGAAGTTTATTATGGAAAATCACATTCAAAAAGAATATGGTATTAAAAAAAAAAAATCAGTGTCATGTGATTTGTATCAATTTGTTCTTGCAAAAGCATGAATTAAAAAGCTAGTTACCCACCTTATAAAGCAGCCTTATGAGGTGTTCTGTTATGCCTAAAGGCTGACTCACTTCCCTGGGTATAATGCTCTCATTTCATAATACAGAAAAATATCAACTGTAGTATTTATTCAATAGCCACAGTATTGCTCATGTAGCAGTACTTTTTACTTTCCTAAAAAAATTCCTGAATTCCACAGAAGGCTTGTTTATTATTGCAAGACTGTGTCTGGCATGATTAATCTAACATGAATAGTAAGTACAATGAAGAACTAAGGATTTTCCTTTTTGGAAAGTCAGCTTTAATGAAACAACTGTAAATAATAGGTTGGTTAACTGTCCTTTAATTTTCAAAAGTTCACCTTAAACTAAATTTTATGTAAAGATATGTCTATATTTAATATGAACCTTCACTCATTTGGTCTACTTAGGTAGTATATAAAATGCAAGTTAATGAATACACACAACCAAAGAAGAGGCTTAGGCTATAATAAAACTTACAAGTGGTTTGATTATCTGAAGCCACTCATTAAGGTACTCAACGAGACCTAATGCATCTGGGATGTTGTCCCCTTCTGAAACAAATTTCAGCAGAACTGCCATTTGGATTTCTTTAGAACAGCTACAAGAAATGAAAATAAGAATCGGTATTTTTCACAGGTACAAGGGTTGATTCTAGTGTGTCTGTCTTCACAGCTATGATAACCTGCCTGGTTTGGGTAAGGAAAAGACGCCACATGATAAGATAACTTCATCTCCCTTCGCCCTACATAAAGTTTTCTACTTGTGAGAGCAGGCCCCTGTAACACCCACTGGGGAACACACATGATCATGCCTCACCCCACGGCTGCATGAAAAAGCTGCCTTTGTGTCCTTGGCTACAGCAGATAAGGTATGTTCTGATCTACTCCCCAAACCTACTTCAGAAGACAGTAATTTTCAGAAGCACCACAGCAGAGACTGAAAGAAAATAACTTACCTAGTGACTATCTAAAGCAGTGAGGGAAACTGTGGAAGAGAATGGAATCATTAAAGGAAAGAAAAGTTCCTACTTCTTCCAAAAACGTTGAGTGATTATTACGTGTTAAGCATTATCTGCAAATTTTATGACAATCCCTGTAATAATCCTGAGGAAGCTCTAATTAGCTCCATTTTATAAAAGAATCAGTTTGGAATAACGGGAACAAGGACAGACACCAGCATTCAGATTCTAGCTCTTCAACTTACCAGATATGTTGGGCAAGTTACTTTAACCAGGGGTGTTCCTCATCTATAAAAGGGGGATGATAATGGAACCTACTTCACAGGTTGTTGTGAGGTTGAAAGGAGGTAGTGAAGGCAAAATGCTTAAAACAGTGACCACACAGTAAATATGACAGAAGTGTTAGCTACTCTTATGAGGTAACAGGTTTAAAGATACTGAATACAGGCCAGGCACGCTGGCTCATGCCTGTAATTCCAGCATTTTGGGAGGTCGAGGCGGGCAGATCACCTGAGGTCAGGAGTTCGAGACCAGCCTGGCCAACATGGTGAAACCCCGTCTCTACTAAAAATACAAAAATTAGCCGGGCGTGGTGGCGTGCACCTGTAGCTACTCAGGAGGCTGAGGCAGGAGAACCGCGTGAGACACAGCAAGACACTGTCTCAAAACAAACAAAACAACAACAACAACAAAAATTGAATACATAGTTAACATGCCCAAAGTTCTGTATCTAGTAAGTGGCAGAGAGACGGGACATGAACTCAGGTCTCTCTAACTCCAAAACATAGCCTCCTATCATACTATAAACACCTCAAGCTAGTGATGAGATGGAGATACACCAATGCAAAAAGTTTCCTGCTTGCCAATAAACACAAAAATTATTCCTAACACCCTAAAACCAAGCTATGAGAAAAATGCCATGCCAAAACTTGAAAGCACGAGACTGACAGAGAGCTACAGAAATAAAAGTGAGCAGAGTTCTAAGGAAGGGATTTAAGACACTGAGGAGACTCTGATGTGTACGTTCGGAAGTCGCAGCTGATACCAGGCTAACTACCACAGTTATCTGTCTCTAGAAACTACAAAGTAGAAATTGTTAGCCCCACTCACACTAGCCCAGTACTTGGTTCTCAAATACCTTAGGGGCTCTCAATCTTTGTATGGAACCACCGTGAGCTCTGATGGCTCAGAAAATTCAAGTTCCTAAATGCCTCTGCTGTGATGGCCTTAGGCAAGGCTCTCGCCTGGAGAAGGCTGGCTCCCAGGCTGTGCCTGCATTTTCAAGGCTCTAACTTGGAAAGTGCAGGGGTATGCTCTTCACTTATCTCGCCTCTTACTAGTTTGTAACACACCGTGGGATAATCATTTCAATATCACCCCCTGGTCTTCTGTTAAAAAGGCAGAGGATGACTATTTTATTCTGGTTGATACAACTGAATATTTTAATATTGTTTCTTTAGGGTAAAATCTCCATTTCCCGAATGTCTGATGCTGAGTAGGTCTAACTTTTATAGTATTTTCTGTTTATCACTGCTAACTTTGTGGGCAAGCTTATAGCTATCCAGAAGCTGCTCTTTGCCTGGACTCAGTTTCACCCTATACCTATGGCTCAGAATTCAGAAAAAGACTCACGGAGACAGACCCCCGGACTCTAATGAGCACCACCCCTGCCCTCTGATTCTCTGCCCTGTATTTCGAGTTGCCTCAGCCTCCCTGTAGTCTGAACTCATTTCCTCCACTCAGCAAGACCACTGTGCTCTGCCTGGGTTCCGCTCCCTGTGCTGCAGTCCGGAAAGTATCTCCAAGCAGAAAGCTGGGCAACTGTAGACTTTTAAATTTTGCCTTCTCTTAGGGATGACAGCTGTGTGCTGCCTGTGTGTGCTTTCCAGTCCGATGTCTGGAAAACAGTTGTTTCATAAATTCTGTCAGGTTTCAGTTTTTTTTTACGGCAGGAGGGCAAGTCTGATATCAGTTACTCTGTCATGGTCAGAAGCAAAAGTTTAGGAGGACTGATTTGTAAAGTTAAGTGCAACAAAGTACAGAAGAGGTGGAGCGCAGTGGGAGTGCAGACGGGCAACTTCCTTGTCTAGAAGACAGGAACAGGCAAGGCTGCAGACAGGAGGTGAAGGGTGAGTTGACTCTTAGAAAGGAGGTAGGTGTGGCAGGGGCTCACGCCTGTAATCCCAGCACTTTGGGAAGCCGAGGCGGGCGGATCACGAGATCAGAAGATCGAGACCATCCTGGCTAACACAGTGAAACCCCGTCTCTGCTAAAAATACAAAAAAAAAACTAGCTGGGCGTGGTGGCGGCGCCTGTAGTCCCAGCTACTCGGGAGGCTGAGGCAGGAGGATGGCGTGAACCTGGAAGGTGGAGGTTGCAGTGAGCCGAGATCACACGACTGTACTCCAGCCTGGGCGACAGAGCGAGACTCCGTCTCAAAAAAATAAAAAAAATAAAAAATAGAAAGGAGGTAAGTGTTTGTGAGGGGGACAAGAGAGGAACAGGGAACAAAAACACAAGGGAAATGAGAAAATACTGAGATGAGTGAAAATGAAAACACAACATGTGAAATCATAGGGCATGCAGTGAACGCAGTGCTAAGATGAAATGTACAGCTGTGAACACATTCAGTACAAAAGAAAAAAAACTTTTAAATCAATAACCTAAGTTTACACCTTGGGAAAGAGAAAAGAAGAGCAAACCAAATCCAAAGCGAGCAGAAGAAAATAAAGATTAGATAAGAGAGAAATAATAGAGAATAGAAAAACAATAATCAGCAAAATCAAAACTGGTTCTTCAAAGAAAAACAAAACTGACAAATCTTTAGCTAGCTTGACTAGGGGAAAAAAAAGGAAAGACTCGAATTATTAAAATAAATGAAAATGGGAACATCAACACCAATTTTACAGAAATAAAGTTGGGAGTTATTATTTACAGGTACAGTTTTTTAAATTTAATATGATGGCAAAGTTCTAGAAGTAGACAGTGCTGATGGATGCAGATGCTGTGAATTACTTAACGGCACCTGATTGTACACTTAAATATAGTTAACATGTATGTACATTTTGCAGGATGTGTATTTTACCACAATTTTAAAAAGTGTGTCTGTAGAGCTTGCAAAGAATAAGTATCAGAATCCCTAAAAAGTTACACAAAATAAAGCATTAAATATGGCTTTTTAGAAACCAGTTCTTCTATAACCAAGTTTAAATCTTTTCCCTAAATGCAAGAGCTCTAAAGTAGTACCAATTTTATAAATACGTTTTCAAAGTTTCAGTAAGTAATCCAGTACATTCCCTGACTTAATTTCGTTGGTTGGTTGGTTGGTTGGTTGGTTGGTTGGTTGAGACGGAGTCTTGCTCTGTCACCCAGGCTAGAGTGCAGTGGCACGATCTCGGCTCACGGCATTAATTTCATTTTTAAGTGGGAAACCAATGAACAGGCAAACAAACTCACCTTTCATCGTACAGTGTTTTTGTGATGCCTCCCCCCGGAATGCGGATACAAAACTCGGAATCATCTATTTCAGGAATGCACCGGCTTTTTTCCATTTCTTGCCAGTTAAGGCTCTTTATTTTATTTTGAACACTTCTTTGCATGGAAGGTGTGAGTAGGTACCGGAAGGGAGTACTAGAAATAATCATATAGTTAAACTTTTTAAAAACTCACAAATACAAACTCTAAGGCAAACATTGGTTCTTTAGCTAAAATTCTCTTGGTCTCCATATATTCTGCCGCACAGGCAAAACACAAGTTTCAGCAGACTTAAGTAAAAAATATTGCTGATTTGCTACTTACTTACTTGGGAGACAATATACAAAGATAGAAACACTTAGGCAAGCGCATTTCAAAAATTTCCCACAGCTTTGCTTCCTTCTGCCATGAAGCCTATAATGTCTTTTGTGAAAGTTCTAGAAATTAGCTCATTTTGAAAGGTAACTCTTGGCTTATTGGTATTTTTTCATCCTGATTTTATAGGTGTATAAGTGATAAAAGTTATGATCTACACCATCTAAAAAGGTTACAGTGAGCCAAGATTGCGCCACTGCACTCGGTGACAGAGCGAGAATCCATCCCAAAAATAATAAAAAAGAAATGATCTAAAAGCTACATCTTGGGTCTGGGTGCGGTGGCTCACGCCTGTAATTCCAACACTTTGGGAGGCAAATCACCTGAGGTCAGGAGTTCGAGACCAACCTGGCCAATATAGTGAAACCCCGTCTCTACTAAACAGACAAAACATGAGCCAGGCATGGTGGCACACACCTGTAGTCCCAGGTACTCGGGAGGCTGAGGCAGGAAAATCGCTTGAACCCAGGAGGTGGAGCTTGCAGTGAGCCAAAATCGCACCACTGCACTCCAGCCTGGACAACTGAGGGAGACTCCGTCTCAAAAAAAAGGAAAAAAAATAAGGCTACATCTTGGGGATGGGCGTGGTGGCTCATGCCTGTAATCCCAGCATTTTGGGAGGCCCAGGCAGGTGAATTCGAGGTTCAGAAGTTCGAGACCAGCCTGGCCAAGATGGTGAAGCCTCGCCTCTACTAAAATTATAAAAATTAGTCTGGCGTGGTGGCAGGCACCTGTAATCCCAGCTACTCAGGAGACTGAGGCAGGAGAATCGCTTGAATCCAGGAGGTGGAGGTTGCAGTGAGGTGAGATCACGCCACTGCACTCCTGCCTGGGTGACAGGGCAAGACTCCATCTCAAAAATAAATAAATAAAAGCTACATCTTGGAGTATGAGTATTCTATATGATATGTTATCAACTTTATGTGATAATGGTAGCTTATAGTTCTATTTCTGAGATACTTTGTCTTACATTGAAGAACTCACTCTGACGTGCCAGGGAGCTACACTTTAGGCAACTGGATTTCTGCAAATACAAATGGTTGCATGTGGCCAGGTGCAGGGGGCTCACGCATGCAATCCCAATACTTTGGGAGGCTGAGGCAGGCAGACTGCTTGAGCCCGGGAATTCGAGACCAGCCTGGGCAACATAGCGAGACCCTGTCTCTACAAAAATTAAATGTTTTTAAAAAAATGGTTGCATATATGGAAATAACTGAAAATATTAATCTTTCAAAAGTTATCAACCAATAAATCTTGAGTACCTTTTCTGCTCATTCTCTTAAATTAGCTGAGCTGTGATGTTGCTATGCATGTGACAGGAAACACTAAAAACATGGTTCCCAAACTCTCTCTCTCTACACGATGTTTTCCCATGCCCCAACTCTACTAAGCTCACAGAAACTGAAAAGATCTGCCTAACTGTACTCCCTCCCATCTCCTGACCTTCTCTTACCCACCTCTTTCTAAACTCCAGCGAGAAGAGGTAAGGATCTACATGGCTTTTAAAGTTCATTTTAACCTTTTAATAGAGAAATTATCACAGTATAAACCATATCAAAAATAACTTTCCAGAGGCAGGAACATACCTGCGAAGCTGCAGGTCATTGCGCTGGTATGAATGGCTGCTCGAAAGAACAATGACTCTGGCACAGCCGCTGCTTTTCACCCAGGAAAGCAGTTTTTCACAGAATGGCTTTGATTTATACTTTGCACACCATTGAGAGAATAAAATCTAAAAGTTAGTCTTAGAGCATACCAACATTCTATATACTATCTCATCAACTTTATGCAATAACGATATATAATTTATATATACTGAAATTACTTTCAGATGCACTTACTGTGCTTAAACCGAAAGAGAATGATAAACAGCAATGAATTATCTAATGCATCTTTATAATTAAGAAACCAATGGCTATGCACGGTGGCTCACGCCTGTAGTCCCAGCACTTTGGGAGGCAGGTGGATCACCTGAGGTCAAGAGTTCAAGACCAGCCTGGCCAACATGACAAAACCCCATCTCTATGAAAAATACAAAAATTAGCTGGGCATGATGGCAGGCACCTGTAATCCCAGCTACTCAGGAGGCTGAGACAGGAGAATCACTTGAACCCGGGAGGTGAAGGCTGCAGTGAGCTGAGATTGTGCCATTGCACTCCAGCCTGGGCGACCGAGTGAGACTCTGTCTCAAAAAAAAAAAAAAAAAGGAAAAGAAATCAATGAGTCATGAGGAATCCAGATTTCAAAAAAATTCTACTGTAATGGACAAGGGAAAACTTCCCAGTTCTCTACTGAAGTAATCTATCGTTACCTAATAACCAATACATGGCCATCTGTGAAGGGTTCTTGCCAGAAATTTGTGACCCAAATCTGGTCACATGGAAACAATCAGATGAATGGAGAACGCGCCACATCTGGCCCCGATTCCTCAAAGGAGTCAATTTTGTAAAGAAAGAAAGCGAGGCAGGCCAGCTTTACTCTGAAAGATACCAACTAAAAAGATGTAACAGTCAAATACAGCCTGTGCACCATGAATGGATCCAGAATTGAAGGATATTCTGGGAAGAGCTATGGAAATCTGAGTATGTTGGATGATACTCCTGAATAAATTCATTAAAATGCTGGTTTTCTTGGGGGTGGTCATGGTGTCCTTGTTCTTGAAAGATGTGTGCGGAAGTATGCAGGGGTGACACATGATGGTGTTGCTAGCCTACTTGTGGATTGTTTCGAAGAAGGAAACTGTGTGTACACACATAGCGAGAGATCAAGCAGGTATGGCAAGATGTTCACAGCTAGTAAATCTGGAATGTGGGTTATAAAATTTCAGGGGAAGCCCACTTTATGAAAATTTTTCAAAGACTGCTCATAAAATAACTATTCAATAAAATTTAAAACGCAGGTAAGAAATGCAGGCTAACTTTTAAAATAAGAAGGTAGTCTAGTATAGCAGTTACGAGAGGCAGGCTCTGGGCCAGGCATGGTAGCTCCCTCCTATCGCTCCTATAATCCCAGCACTTTGGGAAGCCGAGGTGGGCGGATCACCTGAAGTCAAGAGTTCGAGACCAGCCTGGCCAACATGGTGAAACCCCATCTTTACTAAAAATGCAAAAATTGGCCGGGTGCAGTCACACACGCTTGTAATCCCAGCTGCTCGGGAGGCTGAGGCAGGAGAATCATTTGAACCCGGGAGGGGGAGGTTGCAGTGAGCTGAGATCACGCCACTGCATTTGCTGAAGCATGAATTGCTTGAGCTCAGGAGTTCAAGACCAGCCTGGGCAAGATGGCGAAACCCTACCTCTGCAAAAAATACAAAAATTAGCCGGGTGTGGTGGTGCACGCCTGTAATCCCAGCTACTCGGGAGGCTGAGGTCGGAGAATGGCTTGAGCCTGGGAGGCAGAGGTTGCAGTGAACCAAGATCACACCACTGCAGTCCAGCCTGGGTGACAGAGCAAGAGAGACCCTGTTTCAAGGAGGAAAAAAAAAAAAAAAAAGGAATAAAGGATTGTTTAAGAGGGCCTTTCTGATGAGGAAACATTTAAGAAAACACTAAAGGAGGCAAACCATTTGAGTCTCCAAGAAAATGAATTCTGGCAGAGAAATGAGTGGAGAGACTGAGGATGAGCTTAATGTCTAACAACACAGGGAGGCCAGTGTGGCTGCAGGTCAGGCTCCGCAGAGCAGCGGTCTGGCAGAGCTCCCTGTGAGCAGGACTCTTGTTCTGCCGGCTACTTGCCATGTGGGGCTCCTGAGAACTCGGAACGTGAGTAGTGACTGAGGAACTGAATTTTAAATTTAATGTGATGAATTAAACTGTAAATAGTTAAATGTGGCTAGTGGCTACTGTATTAGCACAGATATAGAGCCTCACAGGCCACAGTAAGGGCTGTGAATTTGAAACCATCCCCAAAGAGTTAAAGAAACCAATGACTAACAGAAATTCTTGAGTTTGGGCTGGGCGTGGCTTACACCTGTAATCCTAGCATTCGAAAGGCCAAAGCGGGTGGATCACTTGAGGCCAGGAGTTGGAGACCAGCCTGGCCAACATGGCAAAACTCTCTCTCTACTAAAAATACAAAAATTAACTAGTATGGTGGCGTGTGCCTGTAATCCCAGAGGCTGAGGAGGGAGGATCACTTGAACCCAGGATGGCAGAGGCTGCAGTGAGTTGAGATCACATCAGTGCACTTCAGCCTGGGCTACAGAGGAGACTGTCTCAAAAAAAAAAAAAAAAAAAAAAAAAAAAAAATTTGCGTTTGCAGGGTAGCAGATAAGAAACTACTTGCTACAATACTGAAACTTCCTTCCCTTATGGGATAAAAGAACCAGCTGAAATTGGCTGGAACCACTATGGCCAAGTTGAGTCTGCAGAGAACAAGCTTGCTGGTGTCACAAGCTGACTCTCCATTGCCACGTTTCATACTCACTCCCCTGAACTGGCACGTGGGCCCTATGAGTTAGCATGAAAAGATAACTGTGCAAGCCCAAGGACTTACCAGATCTACCCTTTCCTTCCATCGCTCACCCACTCATCTCAGAATCCACCTCTGAACCTTTTCTAATAAGAACACTGCCTTGAAGCCAGCACAGGGAGGCAGATTTGAGCTCGACTCCTGTCTCCTTGGGAGTCAATCTGCAATATAAAGCCTTTCTTTTCTCAAAAACCTGGTGTCACAGTGCGTTAGGAAGCAAGCCCCTTCTCCTGGATCACAATTTTGAGTGAGAGGAGAAGCTACTGGAGGGTTTCGAAGAGAGTAGCGATGTGGTGTAGGTTTAGAGGATCGTCAGTGCTGCCGCTGGCGAGAGGTAGATTGGGCAAGAGTAGAGTCGGGCATGAAGATGACAGTGCTTTGGACTCAGTGGTAGCAGTGGAGGAGGAAAGAAGTCGGATTCAGAATATTTTATGACATACATATAATTTGATATATACACAGTTTATATGTAGATGCCACCAGCTGAAATGTAATACAAATGGAATAAACCTCTAATTCTTACATTTTTTCACCAATGTTACCCGAACTGAAAATATGTAACATTCAAGATAAAAGTCCTACTTCCTTTCTATATAATCATGAAAAGACAGTAACACATCTGAAATATTATAAGATTATTTCTCTATAGAATCAGATCTTCTTAACTGTACATATGGTAAAAACAGTAATTTTTGAATCTTAATTCCTAATGTTACTTATTTTCTCATTACACTTTAATAAACAAAAAGGCAAACTACAACATACTAACCTTAATAAAAATGGATCTTAACTGAAGAGCCACCAGCTTTCTTGAAGGCAATGAATATACTATAAAAACAAGAAGAAAATGAAATCATATGATACTGAACTTATGCAAGTTGAAATTATTATGATAAACAAAAATTGAATTCTAATACCTTTTGCATTTAAATATTTTCAATAATTAAAATACAGAACATATATGTCATCTGGTTAAAATAAGACAATTTAGAAGTACCTTAAAATGAGCCAGTGGGCTTTATTCTATGGAACAATTCATTTCTGAAAAGTTAACTCTAAGAAAGTATCAAAAATTATTTTTTCTGACTTTAACTGTTCCCCTGAAAATTTCTGGTATTATGACAACTAAAATCATCCTTAAGAAAACTGAACTTTTTGGCTTTTGATATTCTTCCCTCTTGTCTCCAGAGAACAACAACACTCACTGGGATTAACAGAAGAAACAGTAAAAGGTAGGAGTATGTTAGCCATGTAATAAAATCCTGAAATAGGTACATGTGTGTTCCTTAGAACTTTCTAAAGGATCTGAAATAATAGAAAACGTCATGTGAGTCAATGTGTTTGCATTTTTTTCTGGGAAAAGGATCCATAGCTTTCATGAGATTCTACAAGGGGCCCACTCTAGAGATGCTTAAGGCTTCCCCGCCCAACTTCACTTCTAAGGATGACAAGCAGCCAGGCGCGGTGGCTCACGCCTGTAATCCCAGCACTTTGGGAGGCCGAGGCGGGTGGACCACAAGGTCAGGAGATCGAGATCATCCTGGCTAACACGGTGAAACCCCATCTCTACTAAAAAATAAAAAAATTAGCTGGGCATGATGGCGGCGCCTGTAGTCCCAGCTACTCAGGAGGCTGTGGCAGGAGAAGGGCGTGAACCCAGGGGGCGGAGCTTGCAGTGAGCAGAGATCGCACCACTGCAGTCCAGCCTGGGCAACAGAGTGAGACTCCGTCTCAAAAAAAAGGAATGAGAAGCTCCTGTCTGAGTCAGGGACAAAATAGTCTCTAAGGACACAGGATTACTATTGCGCTAAGGGGTAAAGTGCTGGTTACTATAAACAGATTGCAAATAATGGCAAATCCTTTGGTGGATCAGGTCTCTACTATTACAGGTCTTTCGGAGATTGTCTCCTATGGCTGGCATGATGTGGTGTGACTGGGAGGTATGCTGAACTCAGCAAATCTAAACAAGCACCAGGTATATTCAGTCCAAAGGAAGTTTAGGAATTAGGGAAAGGGGTATAAATTTAGGGAAAAGAGACTAAGGCACAGATTACTCAGCCTCTAACCTATCTGTGACAAACACATGTAGTCTAATTCAACAGACCTAGGTTTGAAAAGAATGTATCTGTAGGGGGTGGGCACGCTAAGCTTTTTAAAATGTAAGCTACCACTTTTTCAGTAACAGCAATACCCTCCTCATCAGTGTATCATACAATTCTTTTTTTTTTTTTTTGGAGACAGAGTCTTGCTCTGTCACCCAGGCAGGAGTGCAGTGGTGCAATCTCGGCTCACTGCAACTTCTGCCTCCCAGGTTCAAGTGATTCTCGTGCCTCAGCCTCCCAAGTAGCTGGGATTACAGGAGCTCACCACCATTCCCGGCTAATTTTGTTTGTTTGTTTTTTAAGACAGAGTCTCGCTCTGCCACCCAGACTGGAGTGCAATGGTGTGATTTCGGCTCACTGCAGCCTCCACTTCCCGGGTTCAAGCGATTCTCCTCTCTCAGCCTCCCGAGTAGCTGGGATTTCAGGCGCACAGCGCCACAATGGGCTAATTTTTTGTATTTTAGTAGAGACGGAGTTTCACCATGTTACCCAGGCTGGTCTCGAACTCCTGAGCTCAGGCAATCTACCCGTCCCGGCCTCCCAAAGTGCTAGGATTACAAGCGTGGGACCGTGCCCGGCCTATGTAATTCTTTTTGTTGTTAGGTTCCTGTTTCCTAGTACTTTTTTCTTCTGATGTGATACGCTATGAAAGCAACAACCCCTTTTATGTATTCTGCCCCAAAACATTAACCTTTTATCTAATCAAGCCTTTAGAGCTAACTCCAGTTACAGAAAATACAGGGGCTAGAACAAGCCAAATGACAGGACGACGTAATCGGACAAATGAGAAGGTGGGACATTGTATAAAACAATACACCCAGTCTTTTCTTCAATAAATCGGTTTGTGATGGAAAAAAAAGGGACTGCTCTAGAGTAGAAAAGATTTTAAGGGCACAGCACGACCATCGGATATATGAGGGGTCTTCAAAAAGTTCATAGAAAATGTGTACTTATGAAAACATTTTGCACCAAAATAAACTTGTACTGACTTGCTATAACACACCTGAAAAGGCTCTGGTTTGAGGCACTAAGAAGGATAAGACATTAAGTGCCCCTATCAGAGCAACATGAATTCTGCTTCAACTGAAGCAAGAACAAACATCAAATTTATGGTGAAGCTTGGGTAGATAAATGGTGAAATCACTGATGCTTTAAAAAAGTTTATGAGGGGCCGGGCACGGTCGCTCACGCCTGTAATCCCAGCACTTTGGGAAGCCGAGGTGGGCAGATCACAAGGTCAGGAGATGGAGATCATCCTGGCTAACACGGTGAAACCCCGTCTCTACTAAAAAATACAAAAAACTAGCCGGGCGTGGTGGCGGGCGCCTGTAGTCCCAGCTACTCGGGAGGCTGAGGTGGGAGAATGGCGTGAACCCGGGAGGCGGAGCTTGCAGTGAACTGAGATCGCGCCACTGCACTCCAGACTGGGCGACAGAGCAAGTCTCAAAAAAATAAAAAAATTAGAAAAAAGTTTATGAGGGGCGGGGGCGGTGGCTCATACCTGTAATTCCAGCACTCTGGGAGGCTGAGGGGGGTGAACTGCCTGAGGTCAGGAGTTCAGGACCAGCCTGGACAACATGGTGAAACCCTGTCTCTACTAAAAATACAAAAATTAGGCTGGGAGTGGTGGTCCACACCTGTAATCCCAGTACTCCGGAAGGCCAAGGTGGTTGGATCACCTGAGGTCAGTTCAACACCAGCCTGACTAACATGGTGAAACCCCGTCTTTACTAAAAATACAAAATATTAGCTGGGCATAGTGGCACGTGCCTGTAATTCCAGCCACTCGGGAGGCTGAGACAGAAGAATCGCTTGAACTTGGGAGGCGGAGGTTGCAGTGAACTGAATTCATGGCATTGCACTCCAGACTGGGCAACAAGAGTGAAACTCTATGCCCAAAAAAAAAAAAAAATACAAATATTACTGGGCATGGTGGTGAGTGCCTACAATCACAGCTTCTTGGAAGGCTGAGGCAGGAGAATCTCTTGAACCCAGGAGGCGGAGGTTGCAGTGAGCCAAGATTGCGCCACTGCACTCCAGCCTGTGTGATAGAGCAAGACTCTATCTCAAAAATAAAATAAAATAGGCCGGGCATGGTGGCTCACGCCTGTGATCCCAGCACTTTGGGAGGCGGAGGCAGGCAAATCACAAGGTCAGGAGACTGAGACCATCCTGGCTAACACGGTGAAACCTCATCTCTACTAAAAATACAAAAAATTAGCTGGGTGTGGTCATACATGCATCTGTAATCCTAGCTACTAAGGAGGCTGAGGCAGGAGAATTGCTTGAACCTGGGAGGTGGAGGTTGCAGTGGGCTGAGATCGTGCCATTGTACTCCAGCCTGGGCAACAGAGCGAGACTCTGTCTCAAAAATAAATAAATAAATAAATAAAATAAAATAAAAAAGTTTATGGGGGCCAGGTGCAGTTGCTCCTCACACCTGTAATCCCAGCACTTTGGGAGGCCAAGGCAGGCGGATCACCTGAGATCAGGAGTTGGAGACCAGCCTGGCCAACATGGTGAAACCCCATCTCTACTAAAAACACAAAAATTAGCTGGGCGTGGCAGCAGGCGCCTGTAATCCCAACTACTTGGGAGGCTGAGGCAGGAGAATCGCTTGAACCCAGGAGGCGGAGGATGCAGTGAGCTGAGACTGCACCAGTACACTCCAGCCTAAGCATCCAGAGGGAGACTCCGTCTGGGGCGAGGTGGCGGGGGAAGAAACCCCATCTCTACTAAAAATACAAAAATTAGCCAGGCATACTGGTAGGCTCCTGTAATCCCAGCTACTCAGGAGGCTGAAGTAAGAGAATTGCTTCAACTTGGGAGGCGAAGGTAGAAGTGAGCTGAGGTCATGCCATTGCACTCCAGCCTGAGTGACAAGAGCAAAACTCTGTCTTGAAAAAAAAAAAAAAATTTATGGGGACAATGCCCCAAAGAAATCAGCAGTTTATAAATGGGTAACTCATCTTAAGAAGGGACAAGATAATGTTAAAGATGAAGCCCACAGCAGCAGACCATCTACCCCAATTTGAGGAAAAATTCATCCTATTTGTGCCCTAATTGAAGAGGACTGAGGATTAACAGCAGAAACAACCTTCAACACCGCAGACATCTCAATTGGTTCAGTTTACACAATTCTGACTGAACAATTAAAGTTGAGCAAACTTTCCACTCGATGAGTACCAAAACCATTGTGTCCCTTCAGCTACAGACAAGAGCACAGCTTTCAATGGCAATTTTAAACAAGTGATATCAAGATCCTGAAATTAAGGAACTGTAGCTAATGAAACGTGGCTTTACCAGTATAATCCTGACGAAAAAGCACATTCAAAGCAATGGCTACCAAGGCAGAAGTGGTTCAGCCAAACAAAAGTGGACCAGTCAAGAGTAGAAGTCATAGCAACAGTTTTTTGGGACGCTCCAGGCATTCTGCTTGTTGACTTTCTGGGGGGCCAAAGAATGATAACATCTGCTTACCATGACAGTGTTTTGAGAAAGTCAACCAAAGCTTTCTCAGAAAAGCAACTGGAAAAGATTCACCCGAGAGTCTTTGTCCATCAGAAAAATGCTGCTGCTCATTCCTCCCATCAAACAAGGGCACTTTTGTCAAAGTTTCAATGGGAAATCATTACGCCTCCACCTTGTCCTGATTTGGCTGCTTCTGACTTCTTTTGTTTCCTAATCTTAAAAAATCTGCAAAGAGCACCCATTTTTCTTCAATTAATAATGTAAAAAAGACTGCACTGACATGTTTAATTCCCAGGCCCCTCAGTTCTTTAGGGATGGACTACATGGCTGCTATCATGGCTTACAAAGTGTCTTGAACTTGACGAAGCTGATGTTCAGAAATAAAGTTTATATTTTTTGTTTTTTATCTTTTTGTTCATTTTCTCACAAACTTTTTGAAGTCTCCTCATACTATAGGTGCTGGTTTGGACAAACTAAACTTTGGGCAACATTGTGGGGTAAACTGGGCCAATTTTAATATGGTAAGATATAGGGAGATATTAATAAATAAATAATTTTGTTACAGTTCCTCATATAAAAAACTACCTTACAAAATAGTTGTAAGGCCATACGCAGTGGCTCACGCCTGTAATCCCAGCACTTTGGGAGGCCGAGGCAGGCAGATCACCTGAGATCAGGAGTTTGAGACCAGCCTGACAAACATGGAGAAACCCTGTCTTTACTAAAAATAAAAAATTGGCCAGGCGTGGTGGCGCATGCCTGTAATCCCATCTACTGGGGAGGCTGAGGCAGGAGAATCACTTGAACCCAGGAGGCAGAGGTGGCGGTGAGTCAAGATTGTGCCATTGCACTCCAGCTTGGGGAACAAGAACAAAACTCCGTCTTAAAAAAAAAAAAACAGTTGTAAGGATTAAATGAAATACACGTAAATGCGGCTGGGCGCAGCAGCTCATGCCTGTAATCCCAGCACTTTAGGTGGCCAACGCAGGCAGATCACCTGATTTCGGGAGTTCGAGACCAGCCTGACCAACATGGAGAAACTCCATCTCTACTAAAAACACAAAACTAGCTGGGTGTGGCAGCACATGCCTGTAATCCCAGCTACTTGGGAGGCTGATGCAGGAGAGCTGCTTGAACCTGGAAGGCGGAGGTTGCGGTAAGCTGAGATTGCACCATTGTACTCCAGCCTGTGCAACAAGAGCAAAACTCTGTATCAAAAAAAAAAAAAAAAAAAGTACATGGCATTCAGTTCACAGTAATACTTAATAAAAGATAGCTGTTATCACTAGCGGAAAGTATACAAATTCTAGGGGCTTTCATTTTTTAAGATATGGTCTCACTTTGTCACCCAGGCTGGAGTGTAGTGGCATCATCATGGCTCACTATAGCCACAACCTCCCAGGCTCCAACAGTCCTCCCAAGTCAGCCTCCTAAGAGGTTGGGACCACAGGCTGGCTAATTTTTTACTTTTTCTTTTTGTAAAGATGGGGTCTCATTTTGTTGCCCAGGCTGGTCTCAAACTCCTGGGCTCAAGTGTTCTTCCTACCTCAGCCTCTCAAAGTGTTGGGATTACAGATGTGTACCAATGTACCCAGTCATTGATTCTGGTTTTAACCATTTACAGTCCTTTATCCTCTGAGGCAGTAACTAAAATTTAGTCTTGTGTTGACAAAGCCATGTGTCCTGTAGGAATTTCAATAATAAGGTCACTTCTCAAATGTACATTTCATTATCGTAAGCTAAGAACAATGATATGGTTAATAAGACACAAAAACCAAAATGCTTCTTCATTTGTCTTTCAATTCACCAAAGGCCTTTTGTGCTCTTCTGTCCCTCTGGATTTGACCTTAAAATGGTAAACAGAGGACTGAAAGATCACCAGAACAGTTAGCCATCAAAGGCAGTAACTGGTGCTCCCACGCTTCACGATCTACAGGAGCTCTTCTCTTCCTCACCAGGTGCTGTGCTGCATTATAACCAGTGTTCCCTGATTAATCAAGCCTGACAGTCCAATGAGGAATTACAAAGGTTTACAGTATGGGAAAAGCCTACACCTATTAGCGGCATCAGGCAAGTCAATCTCTTTGAGCCTTATCTATACCATATTATTACGAATCCTATACTGGAAGAGGATGACTAAGAGGATGAGGCTTAGTTGACGTAACATATATTAAACCTACAGGACTGAGTCCAATGCAATCTTCTTTTTGCCTTTCCATATTATTAGTGATGGTTAGACATACCAGTAAGAACAAGAAATAAAACTGAAGATAGAAGGAAAAAAATCCATGTTGGAAAAAAAAGGAAATTTTAAATTCTACAAAAGATACAAGTATGGGCCGGGCACAGTGGCTCACGCCTGTAATCCCAGCACTTTGGGAGGCTGAGGTGGGTGGATCACGATGTCAAGATATTGAGACCATCCTGGCTAACACGGTGAAACCCCATCTCTACTAAAAAAATATAAAAAATTAGCCGGGCACAGTGGCAAGCGTTTGTAGTCCCAGCTACTCATGAGGCTGAGGCAGGAGAATGGCGTGAACCCGGGGGGCAGAGCTTGCAGTGAGCCAAGATCACACCACTGCACTCCAGCCTGGGTGACAGAGCGAGACTCCGTCTTAAAAAAAAAAAAGACACAAGTGTGATCTTATTCTCGACCTTCATAAGAGTTGCCATTTACAAGAGTCTAACAACTAAAACTAGGATGTAAAAGAATAGGACAATGTGATTGGGCTGTGAATTCTACACAAAGTTGGCACTAAGTAAACATTTGCTACAAAACAATTATCAATAAAGTCTATTTCTAACTTAAAACAACTCTACCTTGTAGCAGAACAATACAAGGTAAAATCTTACATACCTTCAGCATTTATACTAAGTTCTGTTGAATTTCCTTCCGCAGTCGCGTATGGATTGTTTCCAACCATAGGCACAAGACAATCGGTATAGAAGTAACCAATCTTAGACATATTCAGTGTAGAAATAATCAGATCCATTGCAAGCTGGCCAACATTTCCAACAGATACTGCTGGCTGAAATTATAAAAAATATGTTCAGTAAGTCACCAAAATTAGCAGTACTTTACTTTATTTTTTGAGACAGTCTGCCTCTGTCTCCTAGGCTGGAGTGCAGTGGTACCATCTCGGCTTACTGCAGCCTCCTCCTCCCGGCTTGAAGCAATTCTCTTGACTCAGCCTCCTGGGTAGCTGGGATTACAGGCGTGCACCACCACGCCCAGCTAATTTTTGTATTTTTAGTAGAGATGGGGTTTCACCATGTTGGCCAGGGTGGTCTGAAACTCCTGACCTCAGGTGATCCACCCGCCTCGGCCTCCCAAAGTGCTGGGATTACAGGTGTGAGCCAACACGACTGGTTGCAGCACTTCAAAAAGTTTAGACAGAAAACAACAGTCATAGTATTAGTACTGAAAGCGTCATAGCATCATGGCTAGATATTGATTTTCATTAACTACAACTGCTGGGGCCTCCTCCACCTTTGAGACTATTGATTTAACAAATACTTATTGAACACCAGCTATATGTCAATTGCTGCTCTAGGCACTGGGAACGCAGGAAAATAAACCAACAAAAGTTCACGCCCTCATGGAACTTCCATTCGAGCCAGAGTGGTTTACCTGTAATAAAACAGTAAAATATACAGTGGTAAGTGCTGCGGAGACAAAGTGCGAGGATGTGTGTACATGGCTGATTTCAATTTTAAGTAGAGAGATCCAGGAAAGACTCACCCTAGGTGACAAAGGACTAGAGACCTGAAAAAGGTAAAGGAGACAGCCATACAGAGAAACGGGAAAGACCATTCCAGGCAGTGGGAAAGCAAGTGTAAAGGCTACGAGGTATGAACAGAAGCTCTCGTGGGTCTTCTTACCATCTGCTTTATTAGTGCCTCTTCACTCATGCCCAAAGGTTGAAGTCAGCTTTTCACACTAAACACACACACAAACTCTCTTTTCCCCGTGACTTAAAATAATAAAGCTGCCAAATCCCTACCTATATCCCACAACATGTAGGAGCTCCACAACCTAATGATGTCTCCACATGGTTAGGTCACAGGAAACTCACATTCTGCAAGTCCAAAACTATAAACTTCTGCCCAAATTTGTCTCCATATTTTGTATTTTAGAAAAGTGCGCTGAGCATGGTGGCTCATGCCTGTAATCCCAGCACTTTGGGAGGCTGAGGCGGGCAGATCACTTGAGGTCAGGAGTTCAAGACCAGCCTGGCCTACATGGTAAAACCCTGTCTCTACTAAAAATACAAAATTAGCCAGGTGTGGTGGCGCATGCCTGTAATCCCAGCTACTCAGGAGGCTGAGGCAGGAGAATCACTTGAACCCAGGAGGCGGAGGTTGCAGTGAGCTGAGATCGCACCACTGCACTCCAGCCTAGGCAAAAAAAAAAAAGCAATACTCCGTCTCAAAAAAAAAAAAAAAGGTCAACATTATTCACTCTACCTAAACTTTTTCCCATTCCCTTACCAACTACATCTAATACATGCCTAATTTTTATTGAGGTTATCCCCAAAGTATCCTTTTAATGTAGCTCCTCCTTTGCATTCTTCCAACAAGTCCTTTGGTTTCTGTCCTTCAGGGCGTTCCCTCAGCATGTTCTCCACTTCTCACTGTTGTCACCTACCAATTGCCTAGTCACCTCCTGTAATTCCCTTCTCAACAATTTTGACACTTGGGTTAAACTCTGTACCATCCTTCTCTTCCTCACTATTGTATTATGTCCATCAGTGCATAAACATGCTCTAATATCTTTCATTCTAGAAGATCTTGACCCCACATAGCCCTCTAGCTCAGCCTCATTTCTTGTGTCTCTACATAGCAAAAATTCTCCAAGTCGCCCACAAAAACATAAGCAGAAACTTTATCTCTTATTAAAAAAATTTTTTTCTGAGACAGGGTCTCACTCTGTCACCCAGGCTGGAGTGCAGTGGCATGATTTCAGCTCACTGCAGCCTCTGCCTCCTGGGCTCAAGTGATCCTCCCACCTCAGCTTCCTGAGCAGCTGAGATACAAGTGCAGGCCACCACACCTGGCTAATTATTATTATTATTTTTTTTGTAGAGATGAGGTATCACTGTGTTGCTCAGGCTGGTCTTGAACTCCTGAGCTCAAGAGATTCTCCTGTACTTGGCCTTCCAAAGTGCTGGGATTACAGGCGTGAGCCATCATGCCTGTCTCTGAATTAATGACTGGAGATTTATTTATATATATATATAATACAACCCAAATCTTTACTTGTTTTCTGCCATTCATTCAACCCACTCCAATATGGCTTTTCTCTTCACCACTTCACTGGTAACTGTCCAGATGACCACCGTTAAGATGTTGCTAAATCCAAACATACGCTTTCTTCACCTTACACACCTCTGGGCTACTTCTGACATGGCTACTCCCTCCTTTTTGAAACACTCTTCTCTGGGGCTGTGTGTTTTATATGTAGTGAATAAGAATGACAGTTCCAGCTCTCTCCAGCCTTACACCATCCAAAGAGTGCATTTTCCAGTGGTGCCTTCTGGGTTCACAGGGCCTACAGCTTATTCTCTCTCAATGTGTCATTCCAAATTCTTGGCAGGCTTCAAGTCCCCCATGCTTACGTGACTGTGTTACAGACATCTATCTTTCTGAAGCGCCTACTTTCCCCTACTCCCAGCCCACAGCCCCCCTCCGTCTTCTACATACTACCTTCTCTAGGAAGCCTTTCTTAACGCGCCCTCTGTCCCTTCCCTCCCAATTCTCTCAGGGCCTTTCCATATCCTTTCAAACTTCTATCCTAGCATTTATTACTCTTATTAATTACACATGTTGCCAACTACACTGTAAATTCCTTGAAGGCACACACCTAGTCGTATTCTAATACTCGCACATTATAGACTTTATTAAAACAATGAACGAATATGAAGAGCGATAAAACTGCTAACTACCGGCAAGAGTCAGCGTTTACTGCCCTATCAGTAGTTCTCCGGTGAACAACGATAGTATGCCAGCTTAAGACTGATCTAAAACTAGTCGCAGAAAGACTTTCTAGACAAAACTGAAGGATGCCCTGCACAACGTCAGTACAGCATATCCAGAATGTACGAACACATCACGTTTTACAGGACACAGACTACAAATTGTAGACTTGACTACGTTTGGTTTGAGAGCCGACAAAGGTTCCATTGGGACGTCTGCCTCCGGCTACAACCTCCCTGTTTTTTCCGGCCGAGAACCTGAAATAGAAACCAGGGCCCTCTTTCTCCCGGCACCGCCGAACACCCCGCGTCGGGGGGCGACACCGCAGGGGCCTCGCGAGGCAGCAGCCCCGAGCGCAAGCGGAGACTCACCATGAGGAGGGTGAAGCCGGCAAGGTCGGGGGCCGACTCCCCGCAGGGAACGAACATGGTCGCAGGGGGGCGGCCAGCGGGGACTAAGCGTGACACTGGGAAGAACGAGGGCAGCAGGGAGGCGGAAGCCCGAGTCCCCGGGGCCTCGCGGGGCGCAGGCGGGTCCTTCGAGTCCCTGGGCGCCGGGCCCTGAGGGCCCGTCCAGCTAACTGCCGGTTCCGAGGCCGGTTCCGAGGGCAGAAGGAGGCCGCCGGGGGGCCGCGACGCGGGGCGAGCGGCACTTCCGCAGACCCTAGCGAGCAAGGCGATGGGGTGCGCTGAGGTCTCGGGGTGCGGGGCCAGCGGGGAGGTGGCGCGCCGGGCGGAAACGATCAGGCAGCGTGCGGGCCAGCCCCGAGTCCGGTTGTCCGCCACTGTTTGAAAACAGTTGGCGCCGCCGCTGCCGGGGCCTCAGTTCCAGGTCAGCCGCCGGCCTGACGCGGCGTTGCGTCCCCCGGGAGCTGCGCTCGGCGAACGGCTGCGGCGCTTTGTGCTCCAGACGCGCCTAACGCTCCCTGGCCGGGCCGGGGCCGCGCAGTGAGGGCGTCTGAGGCGGGGAGAAGCGGCGGGGAGACGCCGGCTGCCAGCATGTCGCTGCCGCCGGAGAAAGCCTCCGAGCTGAAGCAGCTCATCCACCAGCAGCTGAGTAAGGTGAGAGTCGCGGGCGCTGGGAGAGACCGCCGGGCCGAGCCAGGACCCTTCCCTCCTGCCCGGCGGCCCCGGGCCGACAGCGGCACCTGCTTGCCCAGACCCTGGCGAGGCCTGCGGGGTGGGCAGAGCTTTGAGTTCGAGGAGAGCGTCCTAGCCTCCGAGAGAGAAAACGAGCCGAGCAGGTGCTAGCAAGTCTGGGGCGATAGAACGAGCGTTTTGGCGTTTTAGGACGGCCGTGAGAATGAAGCGCTTAGCGAGCGACTTCTGGAAGTCCAATCGAGTGTGAGTTGTGTTTGGAGGTTTGTATTCTGCTGTAAGATATCAGGGTTTCTTTCTTTTTTTGAGACGGAGTCTCCCTGTCGCCCAGGCTGGAGTGCAATGGCGCGATCTCGGCTCACTGCAACCTCCGCCTCCCGGGTTTAAGCGATTCTCCTGCCTCAGCCTCCTGAGTAGCTGGGATTACAGGCACCTGCCACCACGCCTGGCTAATTTTTGTATTTTTAGTAGAGATGGGGTTTCACCATGTTGGTCTGGCTGGTTTCGAACTCCTGACCTTGTGATCCGCCCGCCTTGCTCTCCCAAAGTGTTGGGATTACAGGCGTGAGCCTCCGCGCCCGGCAGATATCAGGGTTTCTTCACCCCTGAAACGTGGGTATTAGCGAAGTTGAACCAGGAGCTTCAATCAGCAATTCTCAAAGAAGTCATGGAAGAGAAGTTACCAAAGGATTTGTAATGACGGTATTTGTTAATATTGCGGAGCTCCGGAAGAACCTGCAGTCTCTGCAGCGCTCGCTGGACTGAGTACCAGGTGATAAAAGCGATCGTTCGTGGTGCCCTTGTGTGCCAGGCTTTGTGCGAGGTACCTAGCGTCGTTTATCTAATCCTCACAACACTATTGTGAAAGGGCACTCACTACACTAGGTTTTTCCGTTCTTGTCGGTGACGAAACAGATTTATAAAGGGTAAATAAGTTGGCTTGAGGTTACACATCTAATAAGTTGAAAGCTGGTAAGAGTCTCTTATCAGTAGGCAGATCGAAGTATGAGAGTAGTAAGATCATGCTTTGGTCTGCCTACTCCCCAGTCTGTGTTCTTTTGATTGTACTATACTCCCTCTCAGAAGATTCCTTTTGGTTGAGTGTTATTTGTGGAGAAATGGTAACAAAGGTGCCAGATAACCAGTGGAGACGATTTCTAGAATTTGTACTCAAAAGATTCATTCTTTAAAAGCTTACCTTTGTTCCCATTCAATTGTGGTAACAATTGTGCATTTACTATTATTAGCTGGAGAAACCTAAAACTTCAGAAGCAGTATTTGACTGCTTTGTGATGTTATACATTGTAATATGAGTTTTCTACATAGATGGATGTCCATGGAAGAATAAGAGAAATCCTTGCTGAGACTATACGGGAAGAATTGGCACCTGATCAACAACATTTATCGACAGAAGATTTGATCAAAGCCCTTAGACGTCGAGGAATCATTGATGATGTCATGAAAGAACTTAATTTTGTTACTGTGAGTAATCTTTTAGGGAAATAAATGAGAGTATAAGTATATACTAATGTGTAACACTGTTGATAAGGTTCCGATGTGGGGCCTTTCCTTTTAGTGAAACCACTTTAAGGTCATTCTGTTTACTAGTGTCCTTGTTTCAGGTATAGGCTAGCTCTGCCCTTGAATACACCAAATAGTTTTGTGTATCAATGAAATTTGTGTTATATATCATATTCCTTCTCTACAGTGACAGAATTTTCTCTTATGTTCTAGGTCTGTTAATTTTGAATATACATACTTTAGTCAAATTAGTTAATCATAACGAAGTTCTTTTTCACTATGATCTGTAATTTTTTTAGATTAAGCATATTTTTAAAATAAGCACTCTTTTGGGATTGTATTCTCTATGATTAACGAATTACAAATTTCTTTAAGAAAATAATTGTCCATAAGAGTCCTCAGATCTTTTCATACAAATAGGTCAATAATGGGATGATAGTCTCTCAGTGCAGAATTAGTAAGTAGGCCTTCGTTTGAAAATGAGGCAATAATGAAAACTGTGACCTCAATACCTGGGTAATATAATGTGAAAATTGGATGGACTTCATAATACAACAGGGAATAAGTATTTTAATACAGTACCTTTTTTTGGTTTTTGAAGTTTTATGAACCCATTTGTTATAAAAATTGACCTAATAACAGCTTCTACTATGTGATGACACTTTATTAAAATCAGCTCATGGTGGAATTATAAGCATGTTATATAAGCATGCAGAAAGTTTAACCTTGTTGAAGGCATTAAGGATTTGTTTTTAGCTTTATGTGGATAGTATTACTTGAAGACAGTTTAATTCCTTAGCATTTGATTTTAGGAGTGACCGGTTATATCATCTTTTATGCAGGCTTTTATTTTCATTATTTTAGTTAGGCTAGGAAAATAAGGAGTTCTTTGAAAGGGCCTTATCCTGTTGTTAGGTTCAGTGCTTAGTCATGTTTATTGATATTTCCTTAACCTATAATTGTTTTCTAATTTGTTTTGATTTTTTTTTTCCTGCCTTTCTAGGACAGTGTTGAGCAAGAACTCCCTTCCTCTCCAAAACAACCTATTTGTTTTGATAGACAATCAACATTAAAAAAAAGTATGTATATTTTAACATTAATTTAGTTGTGGTTTATAGTAAATACTGATGTGCTGTAGTCTTTGGTATTTGATAGAAGACATTTCCATTTTTTCCCCCAAAATAAAATACTTAAAATTTTATAGTTAGCTAAAACATAGATTCTGTTTTGCATGAAGTATATCAGAAGAGTTAATGTATAGCACAGTAGAAGCAAAAACAGGATCACCAGTTTCTTGTGTTTTAGTAATATGTTTTATAAAAACTGTATAGCCTCGCTTTTAAATGGTAATATAATTATCTGACAAATACACTTGCTGAATTGATAATTATATGAGTTGGTTTGTGAAGGTGGAGGAATGTTGGTTAAGCAGCTAAGAAGCAAAAGTATACCACATGTTGGCTCTGATGCCTTTCCAGCTGGGAGAAAGTAGCCTGGATATAAACTCAGAAAAGAATAGCATATTATATGGGTATCTTCTCCCCAGGGTACAAATGATTCTGGTATATACAGTAATAAATTTGTTACTCTTGCTTTTTTTTAGTCTTTGGTTTTGGGTTTTTATCTGTCAAGTTTTTATTTCCTAATGATTGATCACATTCTTTTAAGTTATTTGGCAGTTTCCTCATATATATTGCTACACTTTACAGCTAATATTGATCCAACACGGAGGTATCTTTACCTTCAGGTTTTGGGTGGAAAAGCTTTCTTGGAACATCTGCAAGAACCTGAGCCTTTACCTGGACAAGTTTGTTCAACGTTTACTTTATGTTTACATTATCGAAACCAACGTTTTCGTTCAAAACCTGTTCCATGTGCCTGTGAACCAGATTTTCATGATGGCTTTTTACTTGAAGTACACAGAGAAAGCCTGGGTAAGAAACAGTAATAAATCATCATTTAATTGAGTAAATCTTTGTTATGTTTTATTGTGAAACAATAATAATGACTTTTTCTGTAAGGAGAGATTTGTAATGGAGGAATCTCTAGCCTTTCATTTCCCACTGCTCTTTTCAATTTAAACTACTATCCACCTTCTTGCAATATTCTGTGTGCAATTCATTTTCCCTGGAGATTATTTTTTGACTGTTTTCATTGTTGATTTTTTAGTAATACACACTTAAATACCTATTATGTGCATAGTGTTAGGCTAGGCAGGTGCTGGGATGATAGAGTGAAAAACGAGACATGGTCGTTCTCATTTATAAAACAACCAGATTAATGATGTTATGTAACTTTTAAAAGTCAAAGTTTAGGCTGGGCACGGTGACTCACAGCTGAAATCCCAACACTTTGGGAGGCCTAGGTGAGAGCATCATTTGAAGCCAGGAGTTCAAGACCAGTCTGGGCAAAGTGAGACATTCTACAAAAAATAAAAAATAGGCTGGGTGCGGTGACTCACGCCTGTAATCCCAGCGCTTTGGGAGGCCGAGGCAGGTGGATCACCTGAGGTCAGGAGATTGAGACCAGCCTAGCCAACATGGCGAAACCCCGTCTCTACTAGAAATACAAGAATTTCTAGCCAGGCATAGTGGCAGGCGACTGTAATGAGCCGAGATCGTGCCATTACACTCCAGCCTGGGCAACAGAGTGAGACTCTGTTTAAATAAATAAATACATAAATAAATAGTCAAATTTAGATGTGAACATATAACTGTCATTTTGGTTTTTTTCTCTTTTTTTTTCTTATTTCTCCAATAAAGCATATAATTCTCATAACTAAATTTTATGCTACTTGGTTCCTGTAATTGTTTTACACTATGCTTCTTTCAGTAAAGGTATTTTGTACATTTTAGTTGTCAATATGGAAAACTTTTTTTTTTTTTTTTTTTTTTTTTTTTTTGAGACGGAGTCTTGCTCTGTAACCCGGGCTGGACTGCAGTGGCCGGATCTCAGCTCACTGCAAGCTCCGCCTCCCGGGTTTACGCCATTCTCCTGCCTCAGCCTCCTGAGTAGCTGGGACTACAGGCGCCCGCCACCTCGCCCGGCTAGTTTTTTGTATTTTTAGTAGAGACGGGGTTTCACCGTGTTAGCCAGGATGGTCTCGATCTCCTAACCTCGTGATCCGCCCGTCTCGGCCTCCCAAAGTGCTGGGATTACAGGCTTGAGCCACCGCGCCCGGCCAACTTTATATTTTTAAACTAAGCAAAGTTTCAGAATATGTCTTCAGAATTTTAGATTTAAAGATGACTGAAACATTACTAAAATTTATTTTTTCCCCCTTTGAAAGATATCCTAATAAGGCAATTAAGAGGATAAATTGCTAGATTCAATGTGCTGTATTTTTCAGTTGTATGTTAATTATACAGTGATAATTTCTGGAGGTTAAAGGGATTTCTAGAGGTAGTTTGGGGATTAATATTGACATACTTGAAGGCGTTTTATTGTAGTAGCGTATACTTTCGTTAAGTAGTTTTAAAGAACAGACTTATCTCATGAATCAGAAAGCACTGATACGCTGTAAGTTACTGGGTAACTCATCACAATCTGCCAGTCTTCTGAAAAGTTGGTGATAGAAATAGGACTGTATTTGTATTTCCAGTTTTTTCCACGCTTTCTGAGACATTAGCAAATTGTTCTATTTGGTTTTTCATAAGCTTATTATTTAGTATATTCTTTAATAAAAGTATTATTTTATATTGGCCTAACTGAATATGTAGTGTGATATAATTTTGTTTGAATTATATTGCTAGGTGATGGAACCAGAATGGCTGATTCAACAACAATGTTATCAATAAGTGATCCAATTCATATGGTGCTAATCAAAACAGACATATTTGGTGAGACGACTTTAGTAGCATCGTATTTTCTGGAATGGCGGTCGGTTTTGGGCTCAGAAAATGGAGTGACCAGTCTGACTGTGGAACTTATGGGTGTAGGTATGATGATTAATATGTCATTGTTAACCTTTTAATAGCCACGGTTCATTTGTAAATAGATTTTATATCCTTAAAATGCTTTTATAATCCGAGAGGGAAACCTGTAAAATAGAATTTCATTAGTTACAATTGAACCCCAGCATCCTAGTCTTGAGAAATGTCTTGAAGAATAGTATCAGTATAGCACTTCACGGTCAATCTGACCTTGTCTTAGGAGAAATGGTGTTTTCTGGAAAATGAATACAGGAATTTTGAGGGTTTTAATTTCAAGTTCATTTGATATAATGTAAGGCTATAAAGAAAATTAATATTCTTGACACACATACAAACTTATGTGTGTCCAGCCAGCACACCCTGGAATACATCCCCTTTGGTACCAGTGATTCTTGCAAAATACGGAGTAGGTATTCTCCCAACCTTTTACAGTGTGGGTGAGTGAGACTTGGAAGATGTAATAATTTGCTTAGTGTCAGTATCAAGTACTCCTTGAGGGCAGAGCTGGTGCCTATCTTATTTATCACAGTCTCCTTGGAATCTTGCACACTGCCTGCTGTGTAACACATATTTGCTAATAAAATGAGAAAACAAAACCCACCAATGTTTTATCTATAACATATAATGGAATTACTTTGGTTTTGAACCTTAGTCACAGAGTTAAACCTTGCCAGTGGACAGCACAGACTTAGTAATTAGGTTTTTTTTTTTTTTTTTTTTGAGACGGAGTCTAGCTCTGTCACCAGGCTGGAGTGCCGTGGTGCAATCTCAGCTCACTGCAACCCCTGCCTCCTGGGTTCAAGCGATTATCCTGCCTCCTGAGTAGCTGGGACTACAGGCACACGCCACCACACCCAGCTGATTTTTGTGTTTTTGGTACAGGCAGGGTTTCACCATATTGGCCAGGATAGTCTCGATCTCTTGACCTTGTGATCTGCCCGCCTCGGCCTCCCAAAGTGCTGGGATACAGGCGTGAGCCACCACATCCGGTCAGTAATTTAGATTTTAATAAGTCATACCAGGAATGTATTTTTCTTTAAATAAAAATTATAGAAAAAGTGTTCTTTGTGTAGGAAATTTATTTTCAAAGACAATACCCAATTATTTGTCTTCAAAAATAGGCCTAACATGATAATCATAGCAGTGACCTGGAAACAAGCAGATTTCTAAAGAAGCATTCACTGAAGAAGCATTAAATCATTTTGATGTGAAGTGTATTTGTTTACTAGTTCTTTAAATCCAGGCATGGATTGAAAATTTCTACTCAGCCTGTAATTTGATAATGGGAAGTGACAAATGGGAGTTACTATAAGTGACAATATAAATTCTTTCTAATTTTTAGTGTGTGTGTGTGTAGACAGAATGAGGTGTTAACAGTTGCTTTGACTTTGAATTTAATGTAAGTCTGGTTGACATTATACATTTCATGAAGATAAAAATTAAGAGTCTCAAATCCTTTAGGTCAGAAACGTTTCTTAAACCATGTTAGAAAGGCCAGGTGTAGTGGCTCATGCCTGTAATCCCACTAGGTACTTTGGAAGGCTGAGGCGGGAATATCACGTGAGCTCCAGAGTTTAAGACCAACCTGAACAGCATAGGGAGCCCCCACCTCTACTTAAAGAAGAAAAAGAGCGTCAGAAAGCTAAGAAAATAGTTGATCTCCTTATAATTAGATAAACACCTTTGTTTAAAAAAATTGATTTGGTTCATTTTTAGTATGAATATTAAAGGTGATGTTGAATGTTATCTTTATTCCATGTAAGTCGTAAAACACCAAGTGCCTAAGTTATTTTGGTTAGACTTTGGTTGAGTAAATATATATAGTATTGAAATCTCTGAAGTTCTAAATATTTATGTTTATAGGCACAGAATCAAAAGTTTCTGTGGGAATTTTAAATATAAAACTTGAAATGTATCCACCACTCAATCAAACATTATCTCAAGAAGTAGTGAACACACAGGTAAATAGTTATGAGTTTCTCTTTTTTTGTCTGTCTGTTTTCATAGTAGTGTATTTAACTGTTGATCCTAGAAGGCACTCTATTTTTAGAAAATTACCATTTATTACTTTCTAGATGAGCACTCAGAGGTTCACAAAAAGGATGAGAAAGAAGATAAAAACAAGACTGTTTTCCTAGGAGAATCTGTATCTAGTTTGGGAAATACAATGAACGTTTATTGAGACAACATAAGAATTTTACAGAATAGGCCGGGCGCGGTGGCTCACGCCTGTAATTCCAGCACTTTGGGAGGCTGAGACGGGCGGATCACAAGGTCAGGAGATCGAGACCATCCTGGCTAACACGGTGAAACCCTGTCTCTACTAAAAATACAAAAAAAAAAAAAAAACTAGCCGGGCGAGGTGGCGGGCACCTGTAGTCCCAGCTACTCAGGAGGCTGAGGCAGGAGAATGGCGTGAACCCGGGAGGCGGAGCTTGCAGTAAGCCGAGATGGCGCCACCGCACTCCAGCCTGGGCGACAGAGCGAGACTCCGTCTTAAAAAAAGAAAATTACAGGATAAAGCTGAAGAGGATAAGAGTGAAGTGTAACCTCGGTGGGGTGGGATTTTAACGTTCTTTCACGGACGTTTATTGAAAGCTTGCTGCTTGTGTCTTTTCTGCCCTGCCCTCTCAGGGTGGAAGCGCTTGCCACTTCTAGAGTGTCTTTGGAAAGGCTTTTTCCCTAGTTCCACTGTCAGGTTTCTGACGAATTACTTTCTTCCTGAGTCTTACGAGATCGGCAGACGTTTTCACTCCTCTGCATTGGATTTGCCGTCCCGTTTAGTTCCTGCCAGTCTGCAGTTTGGAGGTTCTCATTATCTGCTGACTTGCTGGATGGCACTTGTGGCATGGTTCTCCTTGATTCCATACACCACCCTTTACTCCACCCTGCCTGTCATGTTGTTCCTTTTACAGACCTGTGGTTAGATGCTAGTGCTTCTCCCTCAGGCAAACAATGCCCTGCCGTTTTCTTTAAACTTTTTTTCCTTCCTTTTGTAAACTCTCATCTGCCTCTAATCTCTAGCTTCTGACATGTGTCATGGGTGGTATATATACCTGAAACCACATAGTGGAAACCAATCTTGATGTTACTCAAATAAATACCCAGCCATTTGGGAGGCTAAGGTGGGAGGATCACTTTTGAGTCCAGTAGTTCAGGACCAGCCTGGGTCACATAGTGAGACCCTGTGTCTACAAAAATTTTGAAAAATCAGTCAAACATGGTGGTACACGCTTGTAGTCCCAGCTCCTTGGGAAGCTGAAATGGGAGGATTACTTGACCCAGGAATTTGAAGTCACAGTGAGTGATTGTACCACTGCACTCTAGCCTGGGTGACAGACTAAGACCATGTCTCTTAAATAAATGGTGGCCGGGCGCGGTGGCTCAAGCCTGTAATCCCAGCACTTTGGGAGGCCGAGACGGGTGGATCACGAGGTCAGAAGATCGAGACCATCCTGGCTAACACGGTGAAACCCCGTCTCTACTAAAACTACAAAAAAACTAGCCGGGCGAGGTGGCGGGCACCTGTAGTCCCAGCTACTCGGGAGGCTGAGGCAGGAGAATGGCGTGAACCCGGGAGGCGGAGCTTGCAGTGAGCTGAGATCCGGCCACTGCACTCCAGCCTGGGCGACAGAGCAAGACTCCGTCTCAAAATAAATAAATAAATAAATAAATAAATAAATAAATAAATGGTGTATAGACACATATACATATGTGTATACGTGAGGGTTTTTATAGCTTGTTTTTTTCAGACAGTCTCGCTGTCGCCATGTTGGAGCGTAGTGGCGCAATCTCAGCTCACTGCAACCCCTGCCTCCCAAGTTCAAGCAGTTCTCCTGCCTCAGTCTCCCAAGTTGCTGGGACTACAGGCGCGTGCCACCACGCCCACCTAATTTTTGTATTTTTAGTAGAGACAGGGTTTCACCATGTTGGCCAGGATGGTCTCGATCTCATGACCTTGTGATCTGCCTGCCTCAGCCTTCCAAAATGGTATACGTGAGTTTTAATCATGTTTTCATATATTTATGTGACATACAAAGTAAATGTTTGGGCTCTACTTTTTTAGGGTAGTAGCTTGTTTTTTTTAATTAAATTTTATTTTTTTAGAGACAGCATCTCACTCTGACTCTCAGGCTTGAGTGCAGTGGTGTAATTATAGCTCACTGAAACCTCAAAGTCTCAGCCTTAAGCAATCCACCTGCCTCAGCCTCCCAAAACACTGGAATTGCAGACATGGACCACTGTGCCCAGCCAGGTTCTCCTTTTTAAACTTAACATTATTTTATATATTTTTCTCATATTTCCACTGTCATATTTATAATTTCTAGTGACTAAAACATAAGTTTATTCTGTTTCTGATAAATTGCTTCTAATTTTATCTTTAAAATTGCACTCTTAAAAATTTTAGCCAGGCTAATTAGTCTGTAATCCCAGCACTTTGGGAGGCCAAGGTAAAAGGATCACTTCAGGCCAGGAGTTCAAGACCAGCCTGGGCAACATAGGTAGACTTCATCTCTACAAAAAATTTTAAAAATTAACTGCATGGTTGGCGCATCCCTGTAGTCCCAGCTACTGGGGAGGCTAAGGCGGGAGGATCACTTGAGCCCAGGAATCTGAGGCTACAGTGAGCCATGAGCATGCTACTGCACTCCAGACTGGGTGACAGAGCAAGACCCTGTCTCTTAAAAGAAATTAAAGTCAGAAATATGTATGGATCCTAAACAGGTGTTAAAATGTGCTAGACACTGTTCCAGACACTGGGCATGTAGCTGTGTACAGGGCAGCAGACAGCTAGACAGCTTGCCCTCAAGGAGTTTAGATTCTGGTGCAGGAGAAGCAATAAGGCAGCAAACAAAATAATGAGATAGTAGAAGGTGTTTTGTGGAGAATTATTACAGCGGATATGATATAGTGGTTATTGGGTGACTGATCATAGGTCAAGTGACTAAGGTAGGGAAAGGGTCTGAACGGCAGGAAGTAACCACCCACGCAAAGATAGGGGCTGAGCTTCCAGCATTGGGAACAGCCTAGAACAAAAGTCCCTACAGAGGAACAAAGGCCTTGTGTGGCTGGAGTGTAGTGGGTTGGGGAGAGAGGAGAAAATGAGATAGTTGGGCCAGCGTTCATAGGCCAGGGCAGGTATTTTGCAATGTGATGGAGAATGAAGGGTTTTTTGTTTTGTTTTGTTTTGTTTTGGAGACAGAGTCTCACTCAGTCGCCCAGGTTGGAGTGCAGTGGTGCGATCTCTGCTCACTGCAAGCTCCGCCTCCCGGGTTCACGCCATTCTCCTGGCTCAACCTCCCGAGTAGCTGGGACTACAGGCGCCCGCCACCACGCCCGGCTAATTTTTTGTATTTTTAGTAGAGACGGGGTTTCACTGTGTTAGCCAGGATGGTCTCGATCTCCTGACCTCCTGATCCGCCCGCCTCGGCCTCCCAAAGTGCTGGGATTACAGGCGTGAGCCACTGCGCCCGGTCGAGAATGAAGTGTTTTAAACAAGAGAATGACAGTATGTTTTGTTTTGTTTTGTTGAGATAGAGTCTCACTCCATCGCCCAGGGTGGAGTACTGTGGCATGAACTCGGCTCACTGCAACCTCTTCCTCCCAGGTTCAAGCAATTCTCCTGCCTCAGCCTCCTGAGTAGCTGGGATTACAGACATGTACCACCATCCCCAGCTAGTTTTTGTATTTTTTGTTGAGACGGGGTTTCACCATGTTGGCCAGGCTGGTCTCGAACTCCTGACCTCAAATGATCCACCTGCCTTGGCCTCCCAAAGTGTTGGGATTACAGGCGTGAGCCACCACGCCTGGCCTGTATGATTTACTATTAAAACATTTCTGGGCCAGGTGCGGTAATCCCAGCACTTTGGAAGGCCAAGGCAGGCAGATCATGAGGTCAGGAGTTTGAGATTAGCCTGACCAATGTGGTGAAACCCTGTTTCTACTAAAAATACAAAAAAAAAAATTAGCCGGATTTGGTGGCACGCGTCTGTAATCCCAGCTACTCAGGAGGCTGAGGCAGGAGAATTGCTTGAATGTGGGAGGCGGAGGTTGCAGTGAGCTGAGATCACGCCACTGCACTCCAGCCTGGGTGCCAGATCCCGCCAACCAAAAAAAAAAATTCTGTCTTGGGAGGAAAAAAAGGTGACTTATGACTATTGTATGGAGACTGGCTTGGACTAGGGGTAAGCGTAGAAACAGGGAAGTCAGGAGGCTCTTATAGAAGATGATGATGACTCAGATTAGGGTGGTAATGATGTAGAGAAGTAGATAAATTCGTTACATATTTGGTAGTAATTAAGGATAATGAATAGAAATTGAAAAAATTTTTTTTTAATTTCAAGCTTGCTTTGGAACGTCAGAAAACTGCAGAGAAAGAGCGATTATTTCTCGTATATGCCAAGCAGTGGTGGAGAGAATATTTGCAAATTCGACCCTCACACAACTCACGACTCGTTAAGATTTTTGCACAGGTTTGTAAATTATATTAGAATAATTTTATGCCTGTATTTGAGATTTACTGTTACGTGTGTAAATTTCGTTTAATACTTATTTGTAAAATGTATTCCAAAAAATAAAAGTGTATTTGTAAAATAAAATGCTGATTTTGTAATATTTTCTTTAACTGCATAGGTGAGTGGCAAGATCAATCTATGTCTTATTTTACTTTCAATCTCAATTATTGTGGGTTTTTGAAAAATCAGCTTTCTCAGGTTGAATCAATTATTGTGTTTTAAACCCTTTCTGAATATATTTGATTTAAAGTAGATGAAAATCCATTTTGTGTAACTTGGAATGTGTATTTGCTTGATACTTACTGCTAAATAATTAACCATTTGGACACTTTGCAGGTTATATGTAAATCCAGCTCTTGTGTGCAGAACCGGGGGGCTCTGGGCATATATATAGTTTTTGTTAGGGTTTTAAAAAAAATTCTATATAACCATGACCTCTAAGCCAGTGACCAGTAGTAATGTTTAACTGAAGCATTTCAACTATATATCTCTGCCTCCATTTTTCCTGAGTCCTAAACCCATTTTTTCTCTTTTACAGACCAACAGAAATTATATGGTCAGGTTCACTTATTTTTTGTAACTCCTAAGGAACAGTTCAAATATTTTGTATACATTCAGCCTCATATAGATGCTTTCATATAAGTATAGTGTAGTATATTAAGTTTCGCCGATCCTGTGCATTCATCCAGCTTTACCCTACTTTCCCTAGATTTTGGAACAGGCTAAAAGTGGTTTAGTTTCCAGATGGGGAGCTTGGGAATGAGAGGTTGACTAGAGGTGGGAATAAGGGAAATGGCTTCTGACTTTCTGATAGCGTTGTTTATATATTGAATGACTGGTTGGCAAGGTAACAACAATATCAGGACAAGGGCAAGGAGAAACCAATCAAAATATAACTGGCTTCCTGGCCAGGCGTGGTGGCTCACGCCTGTAATCCCAGCACTTTGGGAGGCTGAGGCAGGGGGATCACCTGAGGTCAGGAGTTCGAGACTAGCCTGGCCAACATGGCGAAACCTTGTCTCTACTAAAAATACAAAAATTAGCCAGGTGTGGTAGTGCGCGTCTGTAATCCCAGCTACTCAGGAGGCTGAGGCAGGAGAATTGCTTAACCTGGGAGGCAGAGATTGCAGTGAGCCGAGATCACGCCATTGCATTCCAGCCTGGGTGACAGAGTAAGACTCTGTCTCAAGACAATAACAACGACAAAAAATATACACACATATATAAATAAATACAGATATATGTTTTAAAAACTGGCTCCGTGCTGTCTATATAAATGAGGCATTTCTTCATTGCCACGTGGAATTAGGAACCAGAGAGGACTCAGGATGGAGTAAGGCAGTGAATCAGAGAAATGGTGGGATCGAAGAGGAGGAAGAAGTTGCGACGCACTAAGGAAGTCAAGGAAGTGGGGTTTTCTCTTACGAAATATTACTTAAGTGAATTCCTCTCTCTGAGAATTCATTGTAAGATTTGAACCATAGAAAGTAATTTAGTCTCATAGTAACCATATAAGATTGTCAAGTGGCCAGGCATTGGCTCTTTTTGTAAACAGTATGAAGGTTAGAGAAGAGAACACTCTTTTCAAGGCCAAACAGCAACTCAGTCATGGCAAAGTCTGTATTAAATTGGAGTTTCAACTGGTGCCACCTCTTTCCATACACAGAGTAAATAAAATGCTGATTTAATTTAGATTTGCCAGACCTGTTTCTTGCTGCTGCTTCCTGTATTTGACTAGTTATGAAATTAAAGAACAACAGTATAAAGCAATCTAATTATAAAAACAATATTGTTTTTATAGATGAAATATATATTAAAAAAGATATATATAGATGATATACAGATATATCCTGCCTTTAGAATGTAAAACTTTTTCTAGAGTGTTTTTTTGAAATTTTGCTTTCAATTGACTTGGTTAACAATTTTTTATTTTTTAGCTTGTGGGGATATATTTAGATAATATTAGAATATTGCTATAACAAAACGATATATCGGGCCGGGCGCGGTGGCTCAAGCCTGTAATCCCAGCACTTTGGGAGGCCGAGATGGGCGGATCACGAGGTCAGGAGATCAAGACCATCCTGGCTAACACAGTGAAACCCCGTCTCTACTAAAAAATACAAAAACCTAGCCGGGCGAGGTGGCGGGCGCCTGTAGTCCCAGCTACACGGGAGGCTGAGGCAGGAGAATGGCGTGAACCCGGGAGGCGGAGCCTGCAGTGAGCCGAGATCCGGCCACTGTACTCCAGCCTGGGCGGCAGAGCGAGACTCCGTCTCAAAAAAAAAAAAAAAAAAAAAAAACAAAAC